CAGGTTTATGTATGGATCCTGCCTCCACTACATCGCTTCCTAAACTATTCCACTCCCAGACTACTCTGTGGCTGAAGAAATACTTCCTAACATCCCTGTGATTCATCTGTGTCTTCAGCTTCCAACTGTGTCCCCGTGTTGCTGTGTCCAGTCTCTGGAACATCCTGTCTTTGTCCACCTTGTCAATTCCTCTCAGTATTTTGTAAGTCGTTATCATGTCCCCCCTATCTCTCCTGTCCTCCAGTGTCGTCAGGATGATTTCCTTTAACCTCTCCTCGTAGGACATACCTCTTAGCTTTGTGTGTGTGTGTGTGTGTGTGTGTGTGTGTGTTAGTTAGTCACCATTTTGTCCTAGGCACATGTCGATGTGTATGTGTGTGTGTGTGTTTGTAAGTATGTGTGAATATGTATACGTACATCTATGTATGTTCACACGTACTAAAACACACATACACAGAGTGGACCTCGTAACGACTAGCGAAGAGGTGGGGCCAGGAGCTGAGAATCGACCCCTGCAGCAGCAAATAGGTGAGTACACACACACACATACACACACACACACTACAAAGGGATCTGGACAGGCTGCAGACCTGGTCCAGCAATTGGCTCCTGGGGTTCAACCCCACCAAGTGCAAAGTCATGAACATTGGGGAAGGCCAAAGAAGATCGCAGATGGAGTACAGTCTAGGAGACCAGAGACTACAAACCTCACTCAAGGAAAAAGATCTTGGGGTGAGTATAACACCAGGCACATCTCCTGAAGCGCACATCAACCAAATAACTGCTGCAGCATATGGGCGCCTAGCAAACCTCAGAACAGCATTCCGACATCTTAATAAGGAATCGTTCAGGACCCTGTACACCGTGTACGTTAGGCCCATATTGGAGTATGGGGCACCAGCCTGGAACCCACACCTAGCCAAGCACGTAAAGAAACTAGAGAAAGTGAAAAGGGTTTTGGCAACAAAAACTAGTCCCAGAGCTAAGAGGTTGTCCTAACGTAGGAGAGGTTAAGGGAAATCAACCTGACGACACTGGAGGACAGGAGAGATAGGGGGGACATGATAAGGGACATACAAAAACTGAGAGGAATTGACAAGGTGGACAAAGACAGGAAATGTTCCAGAGACTGGACACACAAAAAGGGGGACTCATTTTAGAAGTTGAAGACACAGATGAATCACAGGGATGTTAGGAAGTATTTCTTCAGTCACAGAGTTGCCAGGAAGTGGAATAGTTTGGGAAGCGATGTAGTGGAGGCAGGATCCATACATAGCTTTAAGCAGAGGTATGATAAAGCTCAGTTCAGGGAGAGTGACCTAGTAGCGACCAGTGAAGAGGCTTGGACTCGACCCCTGCAACCTCAACTAGGTGAGTACACACACACACACACACACACACACACACACACACACACGAGATATCTAGTTCATATAGCAGTGAGCTAGATACCTGGAAGACGGTGGGACCAGATGATATCTCTCCGTGGCCCTGAGGGAGCAGAGGAACCATGTGCACCGCTTGCAACATTCGTCAACAAGTCTATCGAAACACAGACAACTGCCAGAGGTGTGGAAGACAGCAAATGTAGTTCCAGTTTTTAAGAAGAGGGACAGACAGACAGCATTAATCTGCAGACTAGTGTTAATAACATGTATAGTACGTAAAACTATGGAGAAGATTATCAGAAGAGTGGTGGAGCACCTGGTAAAGCGGGGTTCATAAACCAGCACGGCTTCAGGGATGGAAAATCCAGTGTCACAAACCTACTGGAGTTCTACAACAAGGTAACAGAAAAAAAAACACAGGAGAGAGAGGGATGGGTAGATTGCATTTTCTTAGACTGTAAGAAGGCTTTTGACACAGTACTGCACAAGAGACTGGTACAAAAACTAGAGGAGCAGGTACTAATAACAGGAAAAGCACTACAATGGATGAAGGCATACCTGGGAAGAAGGGAACAACGAGTGATGGTCCGTGACGAGGAATCGAAATAGGTGCATGTGATGAGTGAGGTTCCATAAGGATCAGTCCTAGTGCAGGTGCTGTGTTTTGTATACTAGGAAAAGACGTGGACTTATATGTGCTCCGTTTGCTGATAATCTAGTACAGGTTGAATAAGCATCCAGTGAACTACAGTATTTCATTGACAATATATGGGAGACAAACTGGGGAGACCTTAATATATACGCTGGAAACAGACATATCCTGAGCCATGAAATGGAATTAAAAAAAAATAGTTTATCAACTCGGTGAGGAAATTTCTTGTCCATGACACAGCCATATATACATTTCACCGGAGGACAAGTATAAATGCTTGGGAAAACTTGTTGGGTCCAGAACAGGACTTTTCCCACGACTTCACTTGACTCATTTAGGTCACAGTAAAGGTTCTCTCTCTCTTTCTCTCTCCCCAACCATTACTTGGTTTCCAAAAGTTCACCGTCTTGTCTTTTGCTGAGTATATTGCATATCACTTCGCATAATGAACATAAAAAAAAATGAGACAAAGCGTTCAGTAGTAGAATCCTGGAGTTTTTTCAATATATCCGTAAAAATGACACTTTTATTCAGCCACCAGCTTACATAAGGGCATTCATCCAGAGGGATTTCTTACACAGTCACCCTCACACGGAGACACAATCCCAACATACATACATGTATATGTACTAACTTACCGGTACATAATTACGTCAGTGATATGTTTTTAGCCAAGTGATTGATGACAATGAGCTACCAGAATGGTTTTACACACTCGAATATATATATATATATATATATATATATATATATATATATATATATATATATATATATATATATATATATATATATAATATATATATATATATATATATATATATAGGGAGGTACCACCTCTAGAACTGTCCTAGGGACCTTCATCCTCAGAGAAAAGAATAAATTTGCTTCAGGGAAAACTCAAGGTTCTCCCTGAAGCTGTTTGAGAATTTTCTCCTACCACCCCCTATATTTAATATAAATATATATATATATATAAACACACCAGCCGTCTTCCACCGAGGTAGGGTGACCAGAAAAAGAAGAAAGAGACACTTTTACCCCTCACTCACTCCATCCTTGTCTTGCCAGAGGCGCGTTGATACTACAGTTCAAAAGTACACGTCACCACCCATACTACGGATGTCTCCACCCGTCCTTTAGAGTCCAGGAACTGTGCTTCCCACCTCCAGGACTCAGGTCGGGCTAACCGGTTTTCCTGAATCCTTTCATATATGTTACCTTGCTCATGCTCTAACAGCACGTCAAGTTATAAAAACCACTTGTCTCCATTTACTCCTATTTAAGAGGCTCACACACGCCTGCTGGATGTCTAAGCCTCTCGCATACAAAATTTCCTCTACCCCCTCCCCCCAATCTTTATGTGTGTGTGTGTGTGTGTGTGTGTGCGTTATATGTATATACATAAGTGTATGTATAGCCATGCATGTATAGGTGTTGGTGTTTAAATTAAAAGTCCCCATATTAAATGTAACAAGAACCTTGACGGACTGTCATGTATTAAGGTGACAGCTGCTTCATTCATAAATAGGCTATCATTCAAAAAATTACATATATCTCACCGATATTACAAACTTGTAAATATGTACTTAATAAGAATGCTGTAAATATGATGTAGTCTTGACCTATGACTGATCGCATTGTAGTTTTTTGTAAATACTGCACTTTTCTAATTGCGAGGCGTAAGAAGGTGAGATCTGCTGGAAGGATCCAGGATGATCCTGCAGCGTCCCACACTGCGTTGCTGATAATATTTGCTGATAAAAAGTAACATAAAAAACGGGAAAAAGTGGAAGTGGTACGGTGTACCAAGGCTGTACTGGAGTACCTGTGATGGAAGGCAGTGAGAGGGACTTCATGTATATGATATTAAAGTACAGGCGTACCCATCGTCAACATTAAGTACTGTATCATTCCTAAGGAATATAGAAAGTATCCTGGTAGCCACAAAGTATCGATTAGAAATTCCTAACTCGATAACCCTTTTCATATCATATAATCGCTCATGGGAGGCGCCCTGGTGCTCGTAAGGAGCTCTTGATCCACTGGAAATGAGCCTACCCCTTCTTCATTGGATGGATATAATTGCCTCAAATTCTCCCAGACTCTGTATGACTCCCTAGGGGTTTAACGCTTCCCCCTGATCATAATAGCAATAATGAATGTGTAATGGCTACGCTCTCTACAGGGCACTGGATGGGTGCGGCCTCATCACGCTCAATCCAGGGCTCCAGGAAATTGAGGACCTGTCCTCCATTTTCTTTATTAGCTAACACAACCTCCTTTTCTTTTATCTCACTGAAGCATATTACCCATGAACAGTTAGTCGACAGTTATATACGTCTTTGCTAAGCGGCATTACTTGAGACTGGACAGAGTGAGCGGGTTGTGTCAACATTTGCAGTCACTCGTCACCTTGCAGGTGCAGACCAGCAGACATTCAGCAGCCGCACCTCGACCAGCAGACACCTGCCTCACAGTGAGTGCTGCTTTCATTATTGTTCGTTGTTCTCATTAAATTGTGTGGTGCTGTCGTTCATTATTCCCAGAATTTTGTTATCTGATATATTGCGATTTTTCAGGTTGGCGACATGACTTGTACTTCTAACAATTTTTTTTTCGTTCTGTTGTTAATGGGTAACCGGCAGTGAATATTACATTATATATCACCCCCGCGAAACGCTACATTACTAACACAACCCGTCCTCGTTTTCAAAATTAATATTTACATCAACCAGTTGAAATTAATGAAAGTTGACACTACCATGTGGGACGACTCAGAATCTAACTGCAACGTTTAGCAGGAATCACATCGATTGATGAGTGATGGCTGGTGGGAGGCTGGAGGTCTGGCAGGCAGCAACATTACGCCAGTAATACTGTTGGTAGAATTACTGACAATATGTTAGGTAAAGGAACACATGTCCAGCTAATCCGACATTTTATTGTGGTAGTGTTTGGCTCTCCAGGAGCCATAACGGGTAAAATGTCGCATTAGCTGCACATGTGTCCTTTTATCTAGTATACACCTGGACTACAAACTCAACATCAACATGACTTCATTCTGGGTAGATTTTTTTTTTTGGATAATCTATTGGTTATTTGTGTTTGAAATGGGTTAATTAATGTTAGTCATACAGTACATTTTCTGCTATTATATGCCCAATATAGTGTTTATATAGAATTAGGGCACAAAAAAATCAGGGCATTTTTTTCCGTTATCCCAGTAAGGTGCTACACCATATGGCTGAAGGTCAGACGGGTTGTCACGAAAAAAAGACACGAGTGGACTTTTTTTGGTTATCCTAGGTTCTCTACACATATGTTGCTATGTATGATAATTCTATGTAACTGTATTTGTGTATACCTGAATAAACTTACTTAATGTGGAGGAGAGGCTTTTTTTTTTTTTTGAGCACAGTGTTTTAGCCCAGTCGGTAACTTATAGAGTCGATCTATCATTACCTCGTAGCTGACTGTGCCAAGAAAAACATTGTATATGTACTAAAACGAGCACCAAGCTGTTAACCCAGCCTCATCCGTTGCCATCTGAAAGAAACCATTGCCAGCCATGACCTGGAAAATTGGATCTCCAAATACATCGTTTTTTAATCCTAAAAGGTATTTCAATTCTGAATGAGCCTTGACTAGTTGTTTGGCTGAGCTGATTCTTCAGTGGTAGCTACAAAAATCTTGTCCTTCGAAACAAGTGGAACATTTTTGTATAATAAATATACCGGTAATACTAGGATGACGTGGTGGCCAGTCTTTATGACTACAAGGTGAAAACCATTATATCTGATACTCCGTCATGATTTCAGATTGTGAAAACAATATATAAATGTTCAGACGAGACTGTGCACTTCGAATCCTGCATGAAGGAGTTTACATTGACTTCCAAAATACACGTTCCATAATATATACGTCTTTAAAGAAAATAAAAATCACAAATGCTAATTTGAATGTTTTTATTTGTTGTAGTGTGTAATTTATATGCGTCAGACCTGTAAGGAAATACTAGTTAATCGATATTTAAGTCATTAATTATTTACCTTATAATTCATATATAGTAAATGGTTTTAAGAGGTTCCATGATGCCGGCTGAGGGCTTTTGATTCCAGGAGTTGCACCTGACCTCCCCTTCCTTGGATCAAACTTCATTGACTCCCATTCCTTCAGCTCCAGGCTTCGTATGACCCCTACGGATTTGGTGCTCTCCCCATGAATATAATAATCGTATTTTAAGTGTCAAAAGCAGGTAAAACAATTTCATTATAATACTAGTAAAAGTAATGATCAGAATATATAGGAACAGTCACAATAATAATATAACCGGACAAGTTAGGAACTACCTGGAGGTTACCTGGAGTCACTTCCGGAGGTCAGCGCCCCCGCGGCCCGGTCCCAGACCAGGCCTCCTGGTTGCTGGCCAGGTCGATCAAACTGTTGGTGCCCACCGTCCACAATTCAACGTAAGCACCATTAGCCAGCTGATCACGAATTGTTCTGAGGAATCTGTCGAGTTCCATCTTGAAGACAGTCAAGAGTTTGTTGGTGATTATGCAAGAAGAGATGGCGCTGAAAAGTCGTGGCCCCTTAACACTTATTGAGTTCTCTCTGTTAGTGTTTGTTTTCAATGTAGTCATCGTTCCCCAGCTTTCCAGTGGAGATATCCTGCACCGCCTGCCAAGTAGTAATTTCAGTGAGCAGGTTTGGGACCAGTCCCACCAGTATCTTTCCAGGTGTAAGTTATGATGTATCTTTCTCACATTCTAAGGACTACAGTCCTAGGGACTTCAAGCAGGTTAAGTTTATGCGAGCTATGAAGGCTCTCAAGTTCTAAACAACATATTAATAGTATTGTTATAGAGCGTTAAAACCGTAGAGGGTAAACAGACGATCCAAGGAAAAAGAACGGCAACTCCGGTTCCTTGGAACAAGAGCTCTTCACCGGCCTCACACCCCCGTTGAAGGTAGACGAGAATATTGATGGGGCTAAACAAGCAGGCGGCGTAGAAAGACTTTCACTTGTTGCTCACCTCGTCCGTTATTTCCGTGTCTCCAAACAAGTTATATTGAACATTACTGTGTTTGCAACCAATAGAGGCGGCTATTGTGCCCTTCTCCAACCCCTTCTTTTTTCCATGATGCCTGAGAGGGGGGGGGGTCTGTAGCCGAGCAGACTAGTGTAAACCTATTTACCTAGCCGAGTTGCATGCAAAAAGAGAAAGGTTAAAATGCCAGATTATGTAAAATGACCAGATGTACCCTGAGATAAAAACAAAATTACAATCAAATCTATCAACTACAAACGACATAAAGTGGACGTGGCCAGTTGCAGCATCAGCTGGGGAAGGTCAGCAGGTGCTCTGGGTGAACCAAAACTAGTTCATTCCTGAAAGGGAAATTATATCATGCTCAAGTTTTTATTTTCCGTATGCCAGAGGCAAAACCTGTGTATGTGGAGAACTGTTGTGTCATTGTGAGTGAAATAACTTGATGGAGTTGAACACCAGATCCTGGACCCGACTCAACTTTACATAGACTTACTTGATCTAGCTCATTTATATGCACTTTTTAATTCTTGCATGGATTATGCCATTTTCTGCTTAAATCTACAATGTTCCTTGTCTTCCGCTTGATCTCTGTTTTCTACTGAGTTTGAACTTTCTCCTTACTTTGGTCATTGAACAAGTTTTCTTTGTTTATATCCGGGCAGTGATGAACGTATCACTGCCCAGTACTGTTTGGGTGAAGAGACAATCATTTCTTTTAAGGGTCTTCCACCGAACTCAGCATCCCACTATCTTTAGCTCAGCGCTGTATGACCCTTGTGGGTTTAGCGCTTAGTTATGATTATAAAAATAATTTAGCTCTTGCAAGGTACCTCTTTGCAAGAGGGAAATGCCTTCATGGTATTCTGTGGACTAGTCACTTGCTCCAATGCTGCTTTTATCTACCGTGCAATCCTACCTCGGCGAGGATGATGAATGTCAGTATACACTAAGTGCTTTTCTTCATGCAATCTCTAAAGTGTATCCTTGCTATGTCCAGCTTTCAAAGAACAGAAAGGCACAATACAGTGACTGGAACAAAGTTTCGGTCCGACTTGGACCATTGACGTTATTGTGACTAGTCAGTGGTCCAAGTCGGACCGAAACGTCGTCATAAACTTCTTTTTCCTATGTGCAGGTTATTTGTGTATGTGCAACTTACCTTGGGAGAATATTAGGACCAGCCTTGCTGATTTATCAGCTCTCCCCGCCTATGATCTCAGCCTGAAAGGTTGTAACATCACTAATTGGTGAGAGCATTAATTCATGATCACAGTTAAATGATCACAGGTTTACGGGTTCATTTCCCAGGCACGGCAAAATGTATAGCCAGATTTCCTTATATCCCTGCATACATTACAGTAAGAACAGGAACTTGTGTGTAAGAGAGGCATGGCTGACAAATAGACAGCAGAGAGTTTGCATAAATGGGGAGAAATCAGAATGGGGGCACGTCACAAGCAGTGTTCCTCAGGGGTCAGTGTTGGGCCCGTTGTTGTTCACAATTTACATAAATGACACAGATGAGGGAATAATTAGCGACATAAGCAAATTGCTGATGACACCAAAATAGGCCGTCCAATTCATTCTAATGAGGACATTAGAGCACTCCAGGATGATTTGAATAGACTGACGCAATGGTCGGAGAAGTGGCAGATGCAGTTTAATATTGACAAATGCAAAGTTCTAAATGTTGGACAGTTAAATAACCATGCCACATATAAACTAAATAATGTAGATCTTAATACTACCGATTGCGAAAAGGATTTAGGAGTTCTGGTTAGCAGTAACCTAAAACCAAGACAACAGTGCATTAATGTTCGCAATAAAGCTAACAGAATTCTTAGCTTCATATCTAGAAGTATAAATAATAAAAGTCCTCAGGTTGTTCTTCAACTCTATATATCCTTGGTTAGGCCTCATTTAGACTATGCTGCTCAGTTTTGGTCACCGTATTACAGAATGGATATAAATGCTCTGGAAAACGTACAGAGGAGGATGACAAAGATGATCCCATGTATCAGAAATCTTCCCTATGAGGATAGACTGAAGGCCCTGAATCTGCACTCTCTCGAAAGGCGTAGAATTAGGGGGGATATGATCGAGGTGTAAAAATGGAAAACAGGAATAAATAAAGGGGATGTAAATAGTGTGCTAAAAATTTCCAGCCAAGACAGGACTCGCAGCAATGGTTTTAAGTTGGAAAAATTCAGATTCAGGAAGGATATAGGAAAGTACTGGTTTGGTAATAGAGTTGTGGATGAGTGGAACAAACTCCCGAGTACAGTTATTCAGGCTAAAACGTTGTGTAGTTTTAAAAATAGGTTAGATAAATACATGAGTGGGTGTGGGTGGGTGTGAGTTGGACCTGACTAGCTTGTGCTGCTGGTCTGGTACAGTGCTCCATCATTGAGTGGGGATGACAAGACTGGGTGGGTCATTGGGATAATCCGGGGGGGACATGGACCTGCTGCGCATGGGTCAGTAGGTCTGTTGCAGTGTTCCTTCCTTATGTTCTAATGTAAGCCTCCTGGTAGCATCCAGGGTGAAGAAAAAAAAAATGCAAATATGTAAAAAGAACTCCAATCCTGGAAGTCATACCCTGGGTAAAAATGCCAATATATAAACAAACTAGATTTGCTGGAAGGATTCAAGTGCTGGAACAAAAGGCATCTGCTTACTCTAATATGTTTAATGATAATTATAAAATCTTAAATTTTAGAATATAGTAAATTAGAATGTAGTAATTATTTTATATATATTTTTTATTTCAGTTTATAGTGTGTAAATTGTCTCATTTTATATGTAAACTGTTCATAGACAATTATTATAATGAGCAGATTAATTGTTCAACTAAGAGTAAATGTATGCATTAATGGGTGGTGCTTTATTTCGGCAGATGGTGAACTTTAGAGTGGTTTTGGTGGCGGCGACGGCACTGGTGGTTACTGAAGCCATGCCTCAAGGCTTCTTCGACCAGATTGGCAAATTGGCAACCTCTGTCGCTGACCAAGTGCGCGAAACTGCTTCTAGTGTCGGGGCTTCAGTGTCTGAAGGAGCCACACAGTTTGGCTCTGCGGTGAAGGACACCTTCAACGATGCAGTGGAGGGTGCAAAACAAACGGCGGACTCTGTGTCTGAAGGCGCCACCCAGTTCGGTTCTTCAGTGAAGGACACCTTCAACGAGGCGGTGGAGGGTGCGGAGAAAGCTGGGGATTCCGTGGCTGAAGGAGCCACACAGCTCAGCTCAGCGGTGAAGGATACCTTCGGCGAGGCTGTTGAAGATGCAAAAGAAACTGCAGGCTCTGTGTCTGAGGGTGCCGCACAGCTGGGCTCAGCGGTGAAGGACTCGGTCAGCGGGGCGGTGGAAGAGGTCAAAGAAAAAGGAAGCAGCGGTGTGGCAGCTGTGAAGGATACTCTAAGTGAAACGGTGGAGGATGCAAAGAAAGCCGCAGACTCTGTGTCAGAGGACGCTACTCAGCTTGGCTCCTCGGTACAGGAAACCTTAAGTGAAACGGTGGATAAGGCTCACGAAGTAGGAAGTAGCAGTGTGGCAGCTGTGAAGGATACTGTCAGCGAAACTGTGGAGGGTGCAAAGAAAGCAGCAGACTTTGTGTCAGAAGGTGCTATACAGCTTGGCTCTTCGGTGAAAGACACCGTCAGTGAAGCAGTGGATAAGGCTCACGAAGCAGGAAGCAGCAGTGTGGCAGCGGTGAAAGACACCTTCAACGAAGCGATGGAGGGTGCACGGGAAACTGCAGAATCTGTGTCAGAAGGTGCCACACAGCTCGGCTCCTCGGTGAAAGACACTGTCAGTGAGGCGGTGGATAAGGTTCATGAAGTAGGAAGCAGCAGTGTGGCAGCGGTGGAGGAGACTGCCCGAGTGGCACGTGATGTAGGGAGCAACAGTGTGGCGTCTCTGGTGGACATTGCCTCCAGCGATCTCCTGCCTCCCACACCTTTCAGAAGCGTCTTTGAGATGGCCCAGAAGACCCTGAAGGAAGCCGGGCAGTTTGCTGAAGAGATGAACAGGAGAGGCATGGACATTAAAGACCTCGAGATCGATTTGGATGCAACAAAGAACTAGATGAACTATTGTGTGCAAAATAATGATACGAATCTTGTTGAACAGTGCAAAGCATTGCTTCCATGTTTGCCATATTTTATTGCTTTCATGAAACAAAAAATCCCTTTTGGACATAATCACTAACGGAGGATTTTTTCACGTTTGAAGTAGTTAAATGGCTGCATGTTTTGTATTATGCTTCTTTGGAAAATTCTCTCTCTTGCTTGTAAAATATTTTGAAGATTTTAACACTAAAATCTTATTAAGCTTTAATGTAGACACGACTCTCGAAAGTGCCTCCTGATAATAAATTAACCTGTTTAGGAGAAAAACTGGTGCTTTTTCGGTATGCATTACAAGTTACAGTTGCAAAAGTCTTCGAGTTAGCCAATTTATTTGCACCTTTGAGCTTCGTGTCGGTTAACATATTTTGTTAATATCTAAAACGTGGATACAGTATGAGAGGATACAGTATGTGCTAATTTGTCCATAAAATACTTTGTTAAAAGTAAATGTAATGGCAGTGGTTTAGTGGAAGATGAATTTGGTTTACTCGACATGTTTAAAAAAAGAAATATGATACTGTAATATACCTAAGAAAAAATGCATTTTTGTGTTAAGGTAGCGCTAACAACAAAGCAAATATATACATTTGAAGATTAGAATGTAATTTTATACAAAAACTCAAAATTCAGGTTGGTACTGTATTGGGAGAGTAGTAGATACATGTAGTACAACTGAAGCATTGCTTGTTTAATTATCCTAACAAAACTAAAACAAGAGCATCCTGAAGGGAGGTTCATTGATGTTACTGAAGGATTTCACCCAGGAAGCTGAATATGACCTGTCCTCCATTTTTAACAGGCGTTGTATGAATCCTATGGGTTTGTCGCTTCTTCATGAATTTAACGATAACACTGGCCAACAATGGTTTAAGTTCAGGTTTAAAAAAATGTTTTTAATTAATTTTGGAAAGCTGAATTCAAATTCGAACTTAGTTTGGCTCCAGCGCGCACAGTTTCTGTGAAACAACCGACGCTTGAACGATTTCACCAAGACAGCCATCATGGAGAGGAAATAGATTAGTTTGATGGTCGACTACTGCTGGACACATGTGGAAGAACCATATTCAAGCACGAAAAAGCCATGAACTGTGATGTGTATGTATATGTATATAATATATATATATATATATTTTATATATATATATATATATATATTATATATAATTATATATATATATATATAAAATATATATATATATATATATATATATATATATATATATAAATATATATTTTATATATACATCAACACAAGGGAATTCGCAAGAGCAGGCGAAATATACACAAACACTGATCTCTGGCTGAAGGAGACTCGAACCTACGAACCTTGGAACAAGGTACGCAGTGCATTACCATTCTCACCTAGACGGGTCATCGCAAGATTGAGACCTGTGCCAGGACTACGGTCTTGTCGAACATTATACATACCACTCTCACCACACTGAATCAATACCTTGGCGTCCAGCTTGCGCTAGTAAGGCTGATGCATGCAGGGGATGAGATGAAAAGCTGTAAGCCTTCTCCCTGAAAGCTAGCTGCCTTGGATAAAGAATCACACAAAGTGGGAGTTGTCACAGTTGCTCTTTGCTGATGACACTGTGCTCTTGGGAATTCTGAATGAGAAGTTTTTTGCAGAGGTTTGGTGATGAAATTTGGTAGGGTATGTAAAAGAAGAAAATTAATATACAGGAAAGAGTAAGATGACGAGCATAACAAAAAGATTAGGGATTGAAAGATGGATATCATATTGAGGGCAAGAGAATGGAGGAGTGTGAATGTATCAATATTTGGGAGTGGACGTGTCGTGAATGGGTCTATGAAAGATGAGGTGAATCATAGAATTGATGAGGGGAAAAGGGTGAGCGGTGTACTTAGGAGTCTGTGGAAACAATAGAACTTTGTCCCTTGGAGGCAAAAGGGAAATTGTATGAGAAGTATAGATTTTACCAACGTTCTTAAATGGGTGTGAAGCATGGGTGGATGAAATGTTGCAGTCGAGGAGGAGGTGGAGGCAGTGGAGATGTCATGTCTGAGGGCAATGTGAGCTGTATAGCCCTTGTGGCTTAGCGCTTCTTTTTGATTATAATAATAATGAGGGCAATGTGTATGGTGTGAAAATAATGCCGAGAATTCTAGTGTTTAGAATTAGGAGAGTGCAGGATTGCCAAAACTGTTTGTCCAGAGGTCTGAGGAAGGGTTTCGAGGTTGGTTTGGACATGTAAGAGAATGGAGCAAACAAGAATGACTTCAAGATGTATCATCTGTAGTGAAAGAAGGTGGGTAGGATATCGGGCCTAGGAAAGGTTGGATGAGAGTGTAAAGATGTTTTTTATAGGGAACTCTGCTCTCAACATATTTAATTGTATGCTCTTGCTTGATAAGTTTTAATTACTTGGACTCCCAACTATGTGCTCATTCCTGAACCTCCGTATTTAATTGGGGGGGGGGCATTACAATGCCTAGACACAAAAGCAAATGAAACTCACAGTTGGTAATCGTAATGGCAATCAACGCTGTCACCCTTATACCGTCATGAATAATGTGCAAATTGTAGGTGACCTTGACCTACGCATCTCTATGGAGGTGTCCTTGATCTGTGCCTGGGGCTTCAGCATTACTTCTCTGCCTAGCCCGTGAGACTTCCATATGTAACAGATATAGCGTCAGATCCATTTCCCTAGCTAACCTCACTAGAATTGGTAATACTATCCTTCTGTGGGATTACTCAAACGGAAACGTTTTAATGTCCCACTGAATCAGCATGACGACTTTGTTGCACATGTGACCTGACTGGTATAATTCCCTATGGGTGTTCCTCTGTAGAGACCTTGTAACAATGAACCTTGTGAGTCATATTCAGAACTAACATAGAGCCCCTCTGAAACCTCTGGTACTCTAAACCCAACAAACTTCCATAATAATCATACCTCCTTCTAAACCATACTAAATACAATGATTTCTAAACTTCGACACTGAAACGTATTGCTCGCAGACTAGGCCCTAGCCTATAGGAAACATCGTACCCTGGAAATCTGAGCCTTCCAAACAGCCCTTGCTCTGCCAGAGAGCGTATGACAGAAACTGCGCCAACATACTGGGAAAATTTGTCAACGTTCTAATTGCTCACACCCCACTTAGCCGAGCATGGAGGACATAAATAAATTAAGGGTAACAACTGGGCAGATCGCGCACCCTCATCCCTTTACATGAGAGGGCGAATTAGCTAGTCAGTGCTTGGGCTGCTACACTACTATGAACAATCTTCCCAGTACCACACAGAAAAATTAATGACAAATAATTATTCAAGGGAGAGACTTGGTTTGCCTTCTGCGCCAAGCAAGGATGATGTACTGCAAACATTCTTTCATAACTAAAACATGATGTCAGCACTAACTAAGGGCAACTCCACGTCCTGGTGAGGATGGATTACTAAAACCATACTCCAGATGCTGTGTCCGATACCAGGTAATCCATTACCGAATATATAACATGAGCTATGTAACTGGGAGCTCCCTCAATCTTGGACCAACACCTCATCATTTTCCAATTCCTAACCCCATCAACAAAATGCATTCGCCGCCAATATCTCTTACTACTGCTTGTGTAAAACATTTGAGAGAAATGATTCTTAATCGTCTCATGTACAGAATCAAACAATTTTTGTCTCCCACGTTACATGGTTATCCATGCATGGAAGGAGCGTGCATCATTGCATAAGCCACCTTTCTCACCTGCACACTGACAGCCTCCTACACTACTTCCTTGAACCTAAATCCGCTTTCGATGTAGCCAACCGACATGTAATCATTAGTGAACATGCCAGAATGGATGTTGGAGGATGGCTTCTCCGCTGGATAAAAAGGTTACCTGCCAACAGAAAATCGTCTGTGTTGTTTCCAGGGACATAGAAGTGTAAACTAAAGACTTTGAATTAAGGAACCCCATACAGGGGGTGTGCTCAGTCCCACACCTGTTCATAATTCTAATTAATGCATGCTATGCCTAGTCAGAGCCCCATCATTATATGCTTAGTTTTTGCCTGATGATATAAATGATCCCACCACCGGATTAAATCACCCAAAAACATTCTTTAATATGTAACTACCTCGTGTCCAGGGACTGGGTTCATAATCTCTACTGATAAAAACAAAGATACTCAATAGGCGTCCTCCTCGACAGAGAGGCACAGTTTCGTCAGAATCCAATCCATGGATGGGTCCCTCTCTAGAATATTGTAAGCAGATACAGGTGTCTCGGCTTTGAGGTTCCACTATTTGGAACCTGTTGTAACAAGACTTTGCCGCAAATACAAAGAAAGAATAAGAGCACTTAGAGTGTGTGGGCAGGCTTCACCCCAGGTATGGTGCTAATGAAATAAAATTGTGAAAAAGATGTATCTTGCTTATATTAATCATTGGTTATAATGCTGCGCCACTAACTTGCTTCTTGTGATCTGACTGGAAGCTTGGAGGCTGGAAAAACTGCAGAACGAAAATAAATGAGGATCATTTTAGGATCCCTCGTACTGGCCAAAAATTTTTAAATATGTCATAAAGAACCTTGATTTATTCAACATCAAGCATCAGAGATCGTGTTACTGAAAGAAATGTCCTAAATAGGGTTAATATGCTCAGGCAAGCCCATTCAAACCCCTGCACAGAAGCCCTCCAAACTTTTCTCAGCATTGGGTGAACACTCCTCCAGATCGATCGAAAAACTGGAACCGACCCTCCGCATGAATCAGATTACATATCACCTATTCAAGTAAGGGCAACGCGGCAACTTCTCTGCTCTCATGGATATTAACCCATTCCAAACTACCATTCCCTCCATTTCCCCCCAAACTACTTCTTAAAATCACAAAACCAAAACTCGCCTTGAAGCCAAACATGATGTCTTAAGCTGTATTGATTACTTAGTCACACAGCAACACACACTCCGCCAAATTAATTTATTTGATGGTTCCGTTCACCAATCCACTGTGCACTGTGGTAGTGCAGCGTTTGTCGTACAATGATGCTCTCTTAAAGAATTTGAGCACGCAATCATAATTGGGGCCTCTTCCCCTTCAAGACAGAACTGCTTACCATACTCCTTGCACTGAAATGCATCTATGTATCTAAGATTGAACAGTTTTTATTGCAACTGATTCTCTTGTCATCCATAAATGCTCTCAACTCATTAAAGTATATATTGTGGCATGCTTTGTGTCAGAACCAGACATAGGTAGGTAATATTGTGGACAGAGGAGTCAGAAGTGCAACATGCTTGATTTCCATCTCACATTGGTCTTTCGGATGCATGATAGAACTTGAATAAATTTAGTAAGCTGTATGCTTTCAAAGAGGGAGTAGATTACAATCTTGGCTTGTCATTAGTAGTTTGAAGACAATAAATACGAAAAAGAACTTCAACTGAATTTTATTGACTTATGACCAGGGAGACTGACACCATCAGTCAATCTATCATCAATCTATCATGCAGGAGGAAGCCACATGTCTATGGTGCAACCAACAAAATAAGCAGAACCTTGATGTCACTACCAGCCCGGCTACCGGCTGGGTTACAAGTATCTTTGGCGGGTTAAATCACCACCACCAATGTGACCAAACGAAATGTAAACTTTGCCAGATGGGCTATTGTCACACCCTGCGTCATTATGTACTGGAGTGCGATAAAA